GTTGCACCTACATGTTGAAAACATTTATTTATTGCCTATGTCCTGAATGAAAGTATTTCAGTTTAAGGGAATAAGTTAACCAATCGCAAGTCTACATATTTGCTTCAGGAGAGGCAAGTTCCTTGTTCCGTCACATCAGTCTCGAAATAGCCTCACCTCCCTCTTCAGGAATGGAGGCAATGCAAAAGCAGCCCTATGCATCTGTCAATAGAGAATAAATATTTTATTTCTACCATAAAATGGTTAGATCACAAAGAAATTACAGTAAAAGAGATCAGACTTTGCAGGCCAAGATGCTAAGCCATCGAGAAATAAAATGGACCATCACTCTAACTCGATGGGGTTCATTTCCTTGCACGAAAGAAACTATAATAGCTTCAATGAGTCAATGTTCATAACAAAAGTAAATACCAGGTACTCTGCAGAAGAGTGAAAGAGTGAAAACTGAACTTGATGGAATGAGTTCTCACCTCAGAGTTGTAAAATCTAAGTTCTCTCTTATGATGGTAAGCTCCATCTAGCTTCTCAATAGGGTTTATGGGATTCAGAAAATCAACCACTAGTCCCTCTGTGGAGCATTACAGGCCACTGCATTGCAAAAGAAAAGGAAAACATAAGTTGGAAATGAGATAGGCTATGATTCGAAGACAGTCCTGCAATTGGTAAATGATACCATATAAAATTACCACTGTCAAAAGCATCATTAATATCTAAAAGAGAACCAAGAGGAAACAACAACTTAATTAAATGCTTAGGATAAGTTGGAACACTTGTCAATGTTACAGAGGACACCATCAGGCCTTAATGCTTGAGCTATAGTCTCAAAAAATGGTTTTTCTATAAGCTCTGAGCAAGACCTAAATTGCAAACCAAAAGAGTAAAAGCTTGAATGATGTTGAGTCTTAAAAGAAAAAATACCATGTAAATGTTCTTTAAGAAACCATCAATGCTGAAAATAAAATTTTATCAGATCATACATTACAACGTACCTACAGGATCTGATGAATCAACAATGATCGTATCATACTTCGCTTTTGGAACATGACGAAGAAACTCAATAGTTGTTAAGATTATATTCAAGTAAAACATCAGTTTGGGAATTAAAGCATCATGCTTGACCACTCAACAGAAAATTCACATAAAAAAAGAGTATAAATGAAACACATAAAATATTCAATATATACCATCACCAACATGAAGATGAATACGAGGGTCCTCAAATCCAACAGCTAATTCAGGAAAGAACTTCTTGGAAACCTATAAAAAAGTTACATATGGATACTAAATGAGCGTTTTCATACAAAAGGTAAAAGGAAAATGAAACAAGAATAGATACTAAAATACAACATACATCTATAACCATCTTATCTATTTCACATATATAAATGTGCTCAACGGAGCTGTGCCGAGAAATCTCCCTAAGAACTCCACCATCACCACCTCCAACAATCTGTTACACTCTAAAACCTAACTCTCCATCTCCATGTCCATCCTAATTCCTGCATTATTCAAACCCTTAGCCCTCAATTCCCCTTTATACAAGCATAAATATCAAAATTATAAAAAGAATTACCCTTTAACTTTGCAGATTCTTGTTCAGACAGCAGGTTCATACTGATCTATTTTCATTGTCTGGCTAATATTTACAGGCAGTAGAACATGCATCATTACAGATAAATGAACATAGGATATTCACTCCCTGCTCCAAAGCTTCCCATCAAGAAAACAATGCCCAAAGCTTAACAAATCATTGTCTTGGCTAATATTTTACAGAAAGTATAACACACATCATTACAATATAAACCACCTTAAGTTATTTGGTAATCAAATTCCCACATGGCGGGTTGCATCATATTAAAAAGGTAGAATGTATATCATTACAGAAGCCTAAAAAATACATAGCAAATATATTGATAATGAAATTCAATCACTTGCACTTATTTTGTACAAAACAGACTGAACTTCTACCATGGGCATATGTTTTCTTTTGTCTTATTCTTGATTAACCTATCTCCTTCTCAGTATAAAGCTTTCAGTATTAAAAGTATAACTATGATAATCCAAATTAAAAAGAACAAAAGAATTATATGAAATACTATGAGAATTCAATTAATGAGCAATCGAAGTTTCCAGCTTTTTAAAACGTAGGCTTAGGGAATCCAAAGTAAATTGAAAAGCAAACGGAATTGAAGGTTTACATACTTTGTCGAGGGAGAGAAGGTGTTTCTCGGTGGCGGTGATTTGATCGGTAGATATCGGAATCCAACGGAGAACGGACGGCCATGAGGATTTTCGTTTGACTACGGTGGTTGATGCAGAGGATTGAAATTCGGGTTGGTTAGTTTCTTCCACCATTTTTATCGAAATCAAACTGGAAGAACCATGGAGAGAGCAGTTCGTACAATGAATGGGTTGTTTCTTTGCTTTGAGGATGGGAAAACACAAGCATTTTTCTTCGGTTTTATATGCAAAAGATTTGATTTTGAGTCTACATCTAGAAGGTGAATATTATAAGAGATTAGGAAAAAAAGAAAAGGTGGTGATGAATCAGAACGCGTTTGCTGAAGCCATAGAGTCATATACGAACGAAAACAGAAAACAGAACAAACTCAAATTTCATATAAAACGATGAATTTCACTGTTGAGAAAATAAAACAAATGGAGTAAGAAGTAATCTTACCATGAGAATCTCACTGGGAAAACGAAATTTTTCGCACTATCAAGCTCGCGGGAAGAAGAAGATATACAGAGATAAACAGGAAAAGAAGGGTAGCCCTTAACACGGGAATGAAAAAATATACCTAAGACACCGGTGGGAATAACATTCCCAAGAATAAACACCTCAATATGTACTGTTGGTATCGAAAGATTACCTTTACTTGGGAATCTTACACAACCAAACATAGGCATCTTTAATCAGGAAAAAAAATGACGGCCGGGAATGATAAAATCCTTGATCCAAACACACTCTTAGTAATATTTTTTTCTCGAATCACATACCCTTGTTTAATTCGAAAGCATTCCCTCTAAGGGGTAATAGAACATTAACAACAGTAATTTTTTTGTTTGGATTCCTGGGAATCCTATTCCTTACTCACCTTAGGTATTTAACAATTCCTATGGTTTTGGACAAAATTGCCCCTAAAATATTAAATAATTTCAAAATTTACTATTTCTTTTATTCTTTTAAACTTTGTAATAAATCATTTACTTTATTTCCATTTTCTCATATTTAATATTTATGACTTGATAAATTATATTGTACTGATGGAGAATATAACGTGGTTTCAATAGTTTGAAGCTCGGATCTACACTCGACCATCAAAAAATTTGGAAACATTATTGCAAAAGAATGTTAGCTACAGTAAATAACCAACGTTATATTCCCTTTTCATTATGTATTCAAAAAAAATTAAAAGAATATATGATATATTTATCTTTTATTCTACTTCTTTATTTTTTAAATTTTATAAAAGAAAATATATAAATTCTATGAATTTAAATTTTATAAAATAAAAATATATAAATTAAAAATAATGAAATAATATATGTTTCTATAAATATTTTATTTTAATATTAAGAATTTAATTTTTTTTGAAAACATATTACAGAGAATTTGGTAAAATACACATTCTAGTAATCTTATATTTTTTCAACCAAACACTGTAATATTACATTCTGTCAAACAAACCAAACAAGATAATACAACATTCCCAGTAATGTGTCAAATAATGCAACATTTCGATAATCTTATATTCCAAACGACCCCTAAATTTTCACATGAGCTTGGTGGTTTAACCGATAATGTTGACGTCATTGATGCCCAAGGATGGAGCTATGTGTTGGGTTGGGCTCCTAATTTGTATCATTAAAAAATATATATACGAATAAGTATTTATTTAGACCTTCAAATTTTGTTTTATTTTGATTTTGTCCCTCTCATTTTCTATTGTTAGTTATACTTTGCCCTCCTTGAATTAGAATCTTAGTTCCGTCCCTGTTGATCAACATTGTTAGTTCACCTAGTAAAATGGACCTTCTTTATCGTCAACATAAGGAAGTGACGAGAGTGAGAGTTGTTTGCTCATCAACATCAACAAAGGTTGGTTGCTGCTCACTTGATGGTTGGTTCTTCTTCTGGTTAGATGGGAAATGGATATGCACTAGTCCTTGATTGCCTCACCTCCCACATCGCCGCCAAACTTTCTCAATTGTTGACCAAGATCGACAAATGATCTGGTAAGGAGCTTGAGAAGAAGCCTGAATTGTTGAAGAATGGGGATGTAGGAATAATGAAGATGGTTCCGACCAAGTCCAAGATTATGGAAACTTTTTCATAGAAGAGAGTTAAACCGTCAATCCAAACGGTGCCATGTCGTCAGGTTAATTTTCCACGTCAACAGTCCATAATCTTCAGTAATGACTACTCACGACGAATGATCAATTTGTTATAAATCAATGACGTTAATTTAATTAAATCATTACTTTTGAAACATCAGTGGAGAAAAGAGAAATTTATTCAAACATTAGTGACCATTTATATAGTTTACCCATTAAAAAGAGTAAGAAATTGAAACCCATAATGTGAGTTGCTTGGGATCTTGTTTGGAGGATAGGAATAAAGGTGGAGATTGGGAGGAAGAACCCATGGACGAAAACGCACTGCATATCAGATAAAGAATTTAAATAGCGGCCATTATTGAAATAACATCCGTTATATAATAATAAAAGTGTCGTCTGAAATTGTTATTTCATGATTGTAATATTTGTAATGATTGCAATAACACTAATTATTGTTGAAATCTTGATAAACACAACTCAATCAAAAATACGATCGTAACCGTAATTTAAATTCCTTGATCGTATTCTTTTGAATTTGTTGGAGATAATAACATTGATTGATTACTCATGTCTTTACATACCAAAGCTATCATATGTGTGTATATATATCACATAGTCAATTTCCAATGCTCGCTAATGCTTTAGTTGTTTGGATCAGTTCAATAAATTTGTTTAGCAGACTCAAAGTCAAATTCATACAAACCCCAAACCAATGCTGCCGATGACAGGACCACAGGAAACGGACCGAACATCCACAACAACATAGGAAACGTGACACAGAGCACCCGGTTTCCAACAAGAGCTAAACCGAACCCTCGTTCGAATATGGTTTGTGTGTAGGAATAAGGATCAGACGAGAATCGATCATCATCAGAAACAGCATTTATCAAGAAATTAGCGTCGATTAGAAATCCCACTGCCATAGAACTGCATAAGAAGCTAACCGATAGAAACAGCGATGCCAAACCGTACTTCAGGGCGTAGATCCTTTCGGATTGTGACCCGAAGATTTCGCCGTCAAAAAGATGGCTGGCATTGTATGTATTGTTGGTCAAAGCCTCCAATGCTAAGTTAACCAGAATGGCTATAGAAGCAGAGAGAATGGTGACCATTAGAGTGTTTCTCAAGCTTTGGACCGCCAACATACCCTTTTTATCTTCACTCTAAAATTTCGAATAGATTAATTATCATAATCCACTTATATCCAGTGTAAAATTATTAGTTTTACAGATTTTTAAGATCATTGGATGAGTAGACAACTGAAATTATCTTCTTGTTTTTCTTTTTAGTGAATATCCATTCTTATTATCTACTGTTAATTTAAGTTGTCTATTTTCACTCATCAAACGATCTTAAAAAGATAATAAAGTTAAAATGTTTACCATGATGTGAACGGATAAAATAATGAAATATTACGACGGAAAACGACTTCTTGTAACTTACCTGTTTGATGTTGTGAAACCAAGTTTTTCTCTGTAATATTTTGAGTCCGATTTTGGTGGAAGAGGGTCTTTGCTCGAAGGTTTTCCAAAGATAGGCATGGTAGCCCAATGTGAGGAAGAGACTAAAGGGGATCAAAACTGTGTCTAGATAGAGCATGAATCCCAATTTTTTCCAGAGCAATTTAGGGTTTGCTCTTATAGTTTTGGTAGCCAAATGAGGAGTATTTATGATGAGAGGTGGTGAATGACATAGTGGAATTTAGGTCGCAAATGTAATCAAATACTTTCATATGTGTCATAACCATTTTTAGGTAAAACAATTAAATATTATTTTAAAAACGATTACGACTTTATTTTGGAAAAAATGGGTGATTTTGAATTGGTTTGAATTAAATTGAAAAGAGTCGCCATCAACCTTTGGGTTAGGTAGGTCGAATACCTAAAAAACGTCTTTTAAAACAATTTTAAGAAAAATCATTTTTTAAGACAAGATTCGGTCTGCGTTACCAAAGATTCATTTAAATGGATTCGGGAGTCGGTTACGTGCGGGGAAGGGTAAACACCCCGCAACGCCCAAAATTGGTACTGTCGCTTACACATCGTTGTAAATGGTGGAATTTATGAGTCGAATATAAAGTTAAAATGTGATCTATTTATCGAACGTTGATTAATTTGCTCCGAATTAAATAATTAGAGAAAATTCTTTAACTCGAAAAGAAATCTCGAAATTAGCAATCCTCCATCGAGAAAGCTAACTCGACTATTTCTTATCAATAAAAGAATATTCCCTTGTTAATAAATATATGAATCGACTAAAAATGAAAATCGACTATTTGCACTCGCATTCAATGAAATAAATTGATAAAGAAATCGACTATACATCGTAGAATGAAAATCAATAACTTACATGAAATGAAATAAATTATTATTTAGAGACATTCATTGCAATGTTTGATTTAAAATGAAATAGATAAACAAAATAAAATCAAATTAATTTCAAGTTCACATTTGTTCGAATGTCATATCGGATTGTACCACTTCGATCAAGCGATACTTTCCATGCACGTTCTACAAATTTGTGTTCTCAAAATTATTCGAATTAGTTATGAAATGTTTAACCAAATACGAGAGATACATAAAGTGCTGACACAAAATAAATTAATATGAATATAAATCATGGAAGAAAAGCAAATATATGTATATATAAGGCACAAAGGTGGGCTCCACACGAAATACACATAAATACACTTAACATAACACTTATATACATAAAAAATAAATAAATCCCGAATATCATTCAATTTGCAAATTAGAAATTTAATAGGAAGAATAAAGTAAATAAATCACATTGCACATACAATTTATATATATGAAAAACATAAATAAATAAATAATAATTTAATCGATGTAAACATGATCTATGCACTAATATAAATATATTTACCCAAGCAAGCATACACATTATAATTTAATATTAGGGCCTAAATGAACAAACATCAAACCTGGCAAATCAAAGTGTGAAAAAGTAAAACTAACTGCAAGGAATAAAATAAACACATCACAAATTAATAAGTGAAATCAAACATTTAACTAAAAACAATTAACAGTGTAAAATGACTAAAATATAAGAATGATGAAAGTTAAAGTTCGAAGTAAAATACCCAATATTTCAATTAAGGACTGAAATATAAGAAATAAAATAATATGATACTAGCAGAAACTTACCCAAAGATAAAATAACAAAAAAGGACTTAAATGAAATAAACACAAACATGAAGGCCGAATCATAAATAAACCAAATGTAAAACAGTGACCATAATAATAACTTTACAAACCATGACTAGATTCTAATATTAACAGAACATGATAACGCATTAATCAGTGACTAAAAATAAAATATTTACAAATGTCATGTCCAAAATCAAATATCCTAAAGTATACAACACATGAAATTAGTGACTAAAATACACTAATAAAAACATATACAGGTTAAATAAAGTAAAAAAAGTACCATGGCCTCAGCTTAATAAACGCATAAATATTTACAAGATAACATGGATGAAATTGCAACATTTACAAAACAAGAGCTCGAATTAAAAGTAAACAAAGTTTTATTGATGACTAAAATAGACGGTTACAAAATAGAAAGGACCTTTAGGGTAATAAACCCACGTGTGTAATTGCCATCTGGGTCCTCTTCAAAACGGTGCCGTATTGAAGCTGGGATATAATCCCCATTTAAGGGTTATTAACCGAACCCTAAATCATTTTCAAACCCCTCTCTCAGCCTCCTTTTGCCTTTCCCTTTCTCTACTCTCCCTTCTCCCTCGCCGCAACAACAAAACAGAGGCTCCCCGGCCACCGTATCGGTGGCCATGGGGAGTAAACCGACCCCTAAAGACCCTCAATCCTCTTTCTTCCTCATTTCCTTTGAAAACCCAACCCTTCACCCCAAAAAAAACCGAGAACCCTTTTTAATCCAAACCTAGATTCAAGAAAAAAACGTTTTACCTTCGATTCCCGGTTTTTCAAGCTCTGGTGAGGTTGATAAGGGATAGATCTACAAGGGTAAGACTTTCTTTTTTCTTTCTCTCTATGTTATTTTCTTTTTTCGAATGCTCTCTATTTTTTTTTTGGTTCTCACCGAATGCCCCCCATATCTCTTCTCTTTGGTCCTTTATCTTTCCTTTTTGCTTGTTGGATTCTTGTTGAGATGATGATGTCTAGAAAAAATAGGGGATCAATCTCAGATTTAGGAATGGGTTTCTGACTTAGGGTGATGAAATCCCGGATTTTCGGGATTATAGGGATTTTTTTATTTAGGGTTTGGATATATTTTTTTTTTTACTGATTTGGGTTGATGTTTGATTGATTTTTTTACTGTAGATGACGATGGTGGCGCGGGAACGGCGGCTGGACCATCGGAGTGGAGCGAGACGGGCCGGAACAGTGACGGCGGCGCGGCTGTTCATTTGCTGCTGGCGGCGGCTGGATGATCATAGGTTTAGGGTTTAAAACCCTAATTACTTGGGCCAGATCCAGGCCTGGTTCGGGTATTGGGCCTGAACCGGGTCTGGGCTCCAAGTCTTGTAATTCTGGGTCGGGTTTGGTATCTGATGGGCTTCGGGTTTGAGCCTGCAAAAAATTTGTAATAATAAATAATAATAAAATAATAAGATGACGATAATAATAATAATAATAATAATAAAATAACGAAAAAAAACCCGGACAAAAACGGGTGTCTACAGCTGCCCCTCTTTGCACATTCTTGTGTTAACAAGAATAGGGCAAAGACGACAAGAAAACACGTTTTTGTCTGGTTCTCCTCTTTTTGGTTTTTAAAAAAAATGGATAGTTTTGTTGGTGGGGACGAAACTGCTCCTACGCAATGAAGAGATATGGTCGGGGAATGACACGGCTCATACGTGATGAAGAGTTCTGGCCATCTAAAGGTGATAACACGGTTCCTACGTGATGAGGACGGCTGGTTATCTTGGATGACACGGCTCATACGTGATGAAGAGATCTGGTCTGGGGATGACACGGTTCCTACATGATGAGGACGGCTGGCCATCTAAAGGTGATAACACGGTTCCTACGTGATGAGGACGGCTGGTTATCTATGGTTGACACGGCTCCTACGTGATGAAGAGTTCTGGTCTGGGGATGACACGGTTCCTACATGATGAGGACGGCTGGCCATCTTTAGGAGTTATGGTTTCAAGAGAAACCAAATTAAAGATTTGTTTCAAAAGAAACAAACCCAAAGATGATATTTTCAAAAGCAACTGTCTCAAAAGAGACAAAATTTTGTTTCAAAAGAAATGACTCAAAGATTGTTTAAAGGAAAACTGTCTCAAATGAGACAAAATTCGTTTAAAGGGAAATGATCTCAAAGATGTTTGTTTTGTTTCAAAGGAAACATACTCAAAGATGGTGAATTTTGTTCCCAAAGAAACAAACTCAAAGATTTTTCTCAAAAGAAACTGTCTCAAGGGATAAAACATTTTTTCCAGAGAAACAAACTAAAAGATGATCTTGTTTTAAGAGAAAATGTCTCAAGAGTGAAAATTCGTTTAAAGGGAAACGACTCAAAGATGGTTTTATTTCAAGAGAAACAAACTCAACGATTTTGTATTTATAGAGAAACTGCCTCAAGGGAAACAAAATTTGTTTTAATAGAAACGATCTAAAATGTGGGTGGTTTCAAAAGAAGTTGTCTCGAGAAATTTTTTTCAAAGGAAACAAACTCAAAGATTTTTTTCTCAAAAGAAATTGTCTTTAAGAGATAAAATTTTGTTTCAAAAGAAACAGACTCAAAGATGGATTACATCTTAAGTGAGACGAATTTTTTTCCAAAGGAAACAATCTCAAAGGTTGGTTTTTCATTAGAAACTGTCTCAAGAGAGACAAAATTTTGTTTCCAAAGAAACAAACTCAAAGATTTTTTTAAGAGGAACAAACTCCAAGATTTTTTCAAAAGGAACAAACTCAAAGATTTTTTCAAAAGAAATTGTCTTTAAGAGATAAAAAATCGTTTTAAAAGATTCAAATATTGTCGATTTTGTTTATATGGAAATAATCTCAAAGGTGTTTTCAAAAGTGTTTATTTTGTTTCAAATAAAACAATTTCAGGATTTGTTAAGAGGGGAAATGTCTCGTGCGAGACA